ATGAGTTGAACTGACTTGATGGCAGTGGACTTGGTATTTTCAGGTTTAAAGAAGCCCTGGTGGTGTAGTGTGCAACACATCATACTCCGAAAAGGCCAGCAGTTTAAATTCTCCATCCACTGTGTGAGCAAGATGTGATTTCCTCCCACAAGGATTTTACAGCATTGGAAATCCAGTGGTGTTTCACTACAAGCTGAGCCAACAGCAGAAGATTTTTTGTGTGTGATGTAGTTTCAGACTGCATTTGTTGACTATTAACTATCAATGCCTTACATCTTGTGGTTAATTAATTGAATTTTCCCTCACTTGAAGCATTCTAAGTTACAAACCTCTCCTACCCATCTAGTCAGTGTTTGATCAGAGACTGTGTTAATGATTAGCTGTATAAATATTTTGCATCTTTGTGGTTTCTGAGTCATCACCTCTAAATGTCCTCTGTTTGAATCGAATATACCTCACAAACTAAAAGTTCCTGAACATTTCTCAAGTTTCCCAGGTCCAAGTCCATCCCTTTTTCACAATCTCAAAAATGGAAAAATTAAAAGTGTTTGTTATTTTCTTGAACTCATTTTGTGTAAAATTTGAACTTGATGCTATTTGTGGACTAATCATTCCAGGTAATGGTCAAGCATTTTCCTGTAAAAAGATTTCATTTGACTAAAGTCTCTTTTCCCAGTCACCACTTAAGTTTTACCTTTTAAAATCCTTTTTAAAAAAAACAACGAAAGCTCATTTAACATGAAGAACAGTATAAGGAATTGTTGCCCATGTCTGCCTGAAGGCTCAAAAAATATCCCACACACCCTCCAAAATGTAATTTTTGTCAAATCAGAACCAACTCATAGCTGACCCTCTAGCAAGTTTGTGGAGGTTGTAAATAGCATGGAGATTGCCCATTTATCTCCAGTATATGGAGAAATCTGTTGGTGGATTTGAATCACGAGAGGCATCACCTTTGGGTTATGAGTGAACTCCCTACACATAGGCTACCAGAGCTTCCTGCCTTAAAGCTAAAGAAGAATAAAATATCAGAGGTCTGATGGCCATGTAGAAGTTCTGCGAAACTGTGCATAGACCAACACATATTGTTTGTCATATCTTTCCTTAGACTATACAAAAGGCCATCAAGCTTGCCATATCATTTCTCGGTTCCGGAACATGCTGAAGATCACCCTGTGGCCATCTTGAAACCATTCTGGCACTTCTATTTTAAGCTTTAAGATTAATGAGAACTCTGAAAATGAAACTAGAGGCTTTCCTTCTACAGAGCCTTAGATTAGGACTGAGATAAAATGTCAGTTTTAGCACATCTTCACGTTAGAAAATGAAGCAAATTGTTATCAAAATATTCAAAAGTGTAACCTCTATAAGTTGTAAGTGTGAATGATGAATTCAGTTTTTGCATGACTTTTCTTTCACAACTACAATAACTAAGGGGACACTGTCTCTCTCCTCTGCACAGACACTAGCAGAGAGACCCCCTTCACCACTGAGAGGATCTTTCTAAGTCAGGGCGATCCCACTGGAAAGCTACTTCATTTGTTTTCTTTCCTAAGGAAAGAATATGTGGCTTTAAAAGAACCTATCTTCTCCCCTGTGAAACGACGACAGTCCCAGCCATATTGTCCCCCCATGAAACGACAACAGTCCTAGCCATATTGTCCCCCCTGTGAAACGATGACAGTCCTAGCCATATTGTCCCCCTGTGAAAGAAAGACAGTCCTAGCCATATTGTGGATAACTGTGTGAATTAGAGATAATTTTTATGAAGTGTCAAAGCACAAAAAAAGGGTACTAGGTAAAATGATATGTGTATCACTATCTTTTGTGCATTTATAGTCTTCATGTCCACCAGGTACCACAACAAAACTTGCCTTTACTTAATATTGTTTGGTTCATAACTACACAGTCAAGGAGACAGAGAACTGGAATCCTTCTTTCACTAGGTCTAAAAGGAAGATAAAGAAAGATGCTAAGGGGAAAGGTGGGTGATGGCAACTGATTTTCGGCTGAGAAACTGAACTGACTGTGGTAATTAAAATCATAAGGGCTGGTAACTGAGCCTTACACAGGGTGAAGATTTCTCTTAACTCAGTGGAATGAAAACACTGCTGTTCAGTTTTGAGTGTCTTTTAGCATCTCCCACTGCTGAATGGAGTTTGCGAGAATGTGAGGCAAAATAAAGGGCAAGAAGACACCATGGCAGACTTGGACATGACTGTGGACTTAAAACTAGATTTCAGGGCTGTCCCACTAGCTAAGTAGATGAAGCCGTCACTCCTTCTACTGTCTCGAGTGATGCTCACAGCTTTTGTGCATAGTATTTTCTCTAAGGAGAAGATTGAGGCAAGGGTCCTTCCAGTGGCTAATCTGTAACATGAGAACACAGGACTTGGATGCGTGCACAGGAAGGCTACAGCATCAGTGGCCCTCATCAATTAAGGACACCAGTGTCAAGTCCAAGTTTGAGTTTAGGATCATCAGAAAGGGAAAAAGGCACCCAAATATTAAACCAGTTTCTCCGTATTCTTTCCTCTGCTTTGACATGCTCTAATGGAAACAAAACCATATGGGGAATGAGAATTTGGTCTTCTTTTTAGTAGATAGCTTTGCAATATGGGTCAAGTCATTTGGGTGGCTCTCAGCTCTTGAGTGTCCATTGGATGCATCTGGTGCTTACATACCCACACTCTCACACAAGCACACACCACACACCACACAAAAACCTGAATCTTGGGCACACTTTCAAAGATCTGAATTCAGAATCTCTGCTCAGCCCCTCTCTTTGCCTGTCAGTCATAAGACTGACCTCACTGCTGGTGAATTGTTTCTGATCCATAACAATCCTCCACTGAGTCTCCAAGGCTATACATCACCGCAAGGGGAGACTACCCACCCTGTGGAGTTTCTGGTGGTGGGTTCGAACCACCGGAGAGTCAACACCTTTGGATTAGTAGTGTAACTCACTGTGATCCTGCTGCTATGGGAAGAGATTGCACTGGCTGTTCCTAAGAACATCGTGCCTTTACGCAAGCTGATGAAGGGCACGTGTGGAGTGAGGGGTTCATACTTGACAGATATGGAAAATCAGTGATAAAAAGAAGCAGAGTTGAGAGGATCAAACAAGATGAAAATGAATTTAGTAACACTTCCCCCTAGAGACTTCTTTGTGCCTTAGTCTTTGTATATCCTCTCCAGGAAATAAACTATGTAGTAGCTGTCATTCTGAAATAAAATGCCAATGGAGGAGGTGTATGTAGAAAAGATACCACTGTGAACAAAGGGTTCCAGGAACATAGAAAGGAATGCTAGGATGATATAACTATATATGATAGGATTCTAATACTTGATCCTTGTGAGTTTAGTGTTAGTGAACTGAGACTTTTATAAGATTTAGAAAGGATATTTTAAAAATCGCACAGGAAAAGGAATTTAAAATTTAGAGAAAAATGAAATGTTGAGTCCTTTCCCCAGAAATTTGTTTCCAAACAGATACCAAAATGAAGTATTTGTAGTGCTGTTTAGCTGATGTGGAAGCAAATTCTGTTTGCCTCCACGGAGGGGTGTTCAGGTGGCCAGACCATCACTTCTTCAGTTCTCCATCGGAAAAACACAAAGCGTGGGGGTGGAACTTACACACATTTTAAAAAAATGATCTAACTACAGAATGACTTCTCCATTTGGTAACTCATTTTCACTTTGAGGACAGTTGGAAAAACTAAACACAAGTAAAAATTTTTACATGTTATTGGTTGAGGTGTATTAAAATAAAATCAAAATTAGGAGCATTAGGTATGTACATGATGATGAGTGAACATGATACAGCATTTTCCTCTCAAAGCTGACAGTAGAACAATTTAGTAAACAAAATCTCTTCTCTTTCAAAATCTCAGCAAGAGCCTAGGGACTTATATTCCTTCATATGCTTGGCTACAAGTAGTCTCATACACATTACATGATTTTAAAAAGGTAGCAGAATCATAAAAGTATCACTAAATTAAAACTTTTTACTTCCAGGAATACATTAAAAATTACTGTTTGTGCATAAAAATCATGTTTAAATCATTTGAAGCCATTAGACAAACTTTGTAAGACAAACCCTATAAGGTTCTGGAGAGATTAGAATCTGTTTTTCCAAACCACATTGTAAAAAGTCTGTATATAGGAAAATAGGGAATTGTGGAATTGAAAAACTGTTAAAAACATTCCTTTTCTGGACAGAGCAGTTTCTGAGGCAAGATGCGGTGTCTTCTCCAGCTCTCTGGAGGTCTGCCGGAGCCCTGCATGGTGGGAGGGGTCCCACGTCACCTATGCCAGGAGCTGTGCGGTGTCACAAACGACAAGTGTGCAGGAAGGAAGGAAAGAGCCACTGTGTTTCAAGTGTCCACAGAAGGAAAAATGATTAATGGTCTCAAATTGCAGGGAGAAGGAAAGAAAAACCTATTGGAATCTGGGAAAGACATGTTTTAAGCTGCTGACTTCACCTTCAAAAAAATCTAAAGGGTTGGATTGGTAAATTCTTTTTCATTAAAAAAAAAAAAACAAAAACAAACAACAAACCACCAAAGCCAAACAAAGCATACAGAAATTACAAAGAAGTGCCATGATGTGCATGGGGCTATTGGAATACAATAGACGAGCATCATTCTGCTACCACTTGGGGTTTCGTCTCTGGCACTTTGGGTCACATAACTGATTGTAAACATGGGCCCAGAGTGAGTGCATTTTGGACAGAACTGGTGTTGCCTTCTCAGCAGGCTGGAGTCAGAAGCTGGTTGAACAGAACAAGGTGGTAAGCTGAGGAGCAGTTCACATTGCAGACCAATGGATCCCAGACTAGAAGAGAATCCTCGCCCCTGTAGAGGTGTCTTCCTGAGTAACTCAGCCTCTGCCAGAAGGAAGCAGGTGTGGCCAAAGGCTCACACTCACAAGTACCTAGGGCAGCTGATGTTTGTGATGTTTTCTTTTGAAACTGGATGGCCATCCCTTTCAGGACCCAAGGCTCCCCATGCACTATGGCTGCTGCTGATACTGCCCCTCTGTGGCCGTGTAGAAGTCATCCAGGACACTCTGCAGGTAATCGAATGTGGGCCTCTCCTCAGCCTTCTCCTTCCAGCACATCTTCATGATGTCATAGAGCTCATCGGGGCAGTTCTCCATCCGGGGCATCCGGTAGCCCTGAGACAGGGCAGTCATCACGTCGGCGTTGGTTCTCCCTGTGGCAAACAAAACATAACATTTAGAAGCCAGAGTCACGGATCAGGCAATGCTGTGTTCTGTCACCTGCATCCTGCAACCATTGACAAAGTGAGCTGTTGAGATGAAAGAAACTTTGGTAAGCAATGAACTAATTGAATTTTAGAATGGAGGAGGTCAAGATCAAGACATCACTCAGTTAACCGAAGAGACAAAAAGCAAACATGGTTGGTAGAAGATAAAGCACATTTTCTTAAACGGCAAAAGAATATTGGAATATTAGACTTTTAAAAAATAACCACATAACCCCAAATTCTTTTGTGATATTATTTAAAGCATCTATCTGTAATTCATTCACTTTATTTAAAAAAAATTTAAAAAGTAATTTTTTATTGTGCTACATATATTGCCCATTTGAACAATCTTCGTGTATACCATTCAATGACATTAATTTTGTTTAACTATCACCATTGACCATCCTGAATTTTTCCATCATCTTTAACAAAAGTTCAGGGTCCTCTTAGTCAAAAAGTCACTGGGTGGAGAGGGAAAAAAGTGCAACAATGAATTAATGGAAATCCAAATTTTCTGTAAATATTTTAATTAAAATTAACTAAAAAATGATAAAAAAAGAAAAAAGTCATTTCCACATATTATAGCTCATGCCAATATTGCTGCTCAAATTTGCTTTTTGTTGTTGTTGTTAGATACTGTTGAGTAGAACATGACCCATAAAGACCCTATGAACAACAGATCTGAACTCTGTTCTATCCTGTGCCATCCTCACACTTTCTGACACAATCAAGCCTACTGCAGCAGTCACTTGTGTCAATCCATCTGGTTGAGGGTCTACTTCTCTTTTCCAACTCTTCACCTTTCCAAGCATGTTGTACTTCTCCAAGTGCTATAGCCTGTCCTAGCAAGATGCCCAGTGTATGTGGTATGAAGTTTTATCATCTTTGCCTCCAAGGAGCACTGGCTGCACTTTCTCCAAGATGTATTTGTTTGTTCTTTTGGCAGTCCAAGGGATAGTCAGTATTCTTTTCCAACACCACAGCTCAAGGGAATTCATCCTTCTTCTTCTGTCATCCTTATTAACTATCTAGCTTTTAGCTGCAGAGAAACGGATTTAAAGATGATGTATGGAATCAGGCACATCTTCACCCTTAAATAGCATCATCACTCTTCAATAATTTGGAGAGGTTCTTGACTGCAGACTTTTCCAGTGCAATGTCTCCTGATTTCTTGACTGCTGGAACTATGGTTGTTGATTGTGGATCTCAGTAAGAGGAAATCATTGACAACTTTGGCATTTCCTTCATATATAATGATAGTGTCTATAGGTCCAGTGGTAAGAATTTTTGTTTTCTTGACATTAAGATACAATCCATATTGTAGGCTGCATTCTTTGATCTTCTATAGCAAGTGCTTCAAGTTCTCACTTTCAGCATGCAAGGGTGTGTCATCTGCATAATACAGGTTATTGATGAGTCTTCCTCTGGTTCTATGCCATATTCTTTTTCATTGTAGTCCAGCTTCTCGAATAATTTTCTCAGCATACAGATTGAATAGGTGTATAGAGAGGATACAACTCTTATACACACCTTTCTTAATTTTTAACCATGTAGGTCAACACTCTTGGCACCAGCAGCCAGGAAATAAAAAAAGTATTGCGATGGGAAAGTCTGCGGTTAGGGACCTCTCTAAAGTACTCAAGAGCAACGGTGTCTCTCTGGAGACTAAGGTCCGCCTGATACAGGCCATGGTTCTTGCAATCACTTGTTATGCATCAGAGAATTGGACAATGACTAGGGAGGATAGAAGGAGAATTGATGTCTTTGAGCTGTGGTGCTGGAGAAGAGTATTGAATGTACCATGGACTGCCAAGAAAACAAACAGATTCATCCTGGAGAGGATTAAACCAGGCTGCTCCTTGGAGGCAAGGATTCTGGGGCTTCGTCTGACATACTTTGGACATGTTGTAAGGAGAGACAGGTCTTTAGAGAGGGACATCGTGCTGGGTAGAGTAGAGGGACAGCGCAGGAGGGGAAGACCCTCTATGAGGTGGATTGATTCAGTGACTGGGGTAATCGGGATGGGTGTGTCAGAGGCAATGCGATTGGCGCAGGATAGAGCACGGTTTAGGGCTGTTGTACATAGGGTCGCTATGAGTCGCAAAAGACTTGATGGCACATAAGAACAACAACAACAGAGCTCCCTTGCTCTATTCACACAACAGCCTCTTAGAAGTCTAGGTCTGGGTATCACATGAGCACAATTAAGTGTTCTGGGATTTCCACTATTCTCAAAGTTAGCTGTAATTTGTTATGATTCATTAAGTCAAATGTCTTTGCATATCCAATAAAGCATAAATAGACATTCTTCTGGTATTCTTTACTTTCAGCCAGAATCCTTTCTGACATTAGCAATGATATCTCTGGTGCCATGACCTCTTCTAAATCCTGCTTGAACTTCTGGTAGTTTCCTATCTATATACTATTCTCAGTGCTTTTGAGTTACCTTCAGCAGTATTTTGCTTTTACGTGACATCAATGCTATTGTTAGATAATTTCCACATTCTGTTGGATCACCTTTCTAGGGAATGGTGACTAGTCAGTCAGGCAGACAGCTGTCCTCAAAATTTCCTTTTCATTGTATGTTTACTTAAAAACATCAGCATCTTGAACCTGACCAGATCAACTACCCAAAACAGTCCAATCCATAGTTTGGTTTTGGGTGTTTTGTTTTATTTTTATTTTATTATTTGTGTGTGTGTGCGCGCCGTCAAATCAGATCTGACTGGTACAGGAGGAGATTGTCCCTCCTTCCCCGGCAGAGCATCTGGTGGGTTTGAACCATGCGCCTCTGGGCTTGCAGCACAGCTTCTTGCCACTAGGCCACCAGAGCTCCCCAATCCATAGGGTTTTATTCAGACAGGACCAGAGGGGCTCTAGGAATAATCTGGCAACTTGTGGAGTTGCTGTCTTCTAAGAGAAAGGTATGCATCTGCAGGAGGAAAATGAGGTCTAGAGCACAGCTCTCACATGGGGCAACTTCGTGTGCTCAAAATATGTTCTAGTCTCAGTTCTTACCAGAGTTGAAGCTCAGATTAACACACTCGAAACATCCTCTGAAGGAACCAGGTTGTTCTTTGGTCTTGATTTCTGTACATGCACTGAACATGTGGAGAGACTTGATTGTGGGCAAATGTCTCAGGTCATTCAGAAGCCAAGCAGTGGAATTCCGATATTGAGAAGCACTTTAGGAATGTTGTTGTTTATTGTTATGTGCCGTCGAGTCGTTTTCGACTCATAGCGACCCTATGTACAACAGCCCTAAACCGTGCTCTATCCTGTGCCAATCTCATTGCCTCTGACACACCCATCCCGATTACCCCAGTCACTG